CCTTTTGCTTGATTCCCCACCCTTTGATGTCCAGACCCAGGCTTCTCGTAATTTTCACTCTTCATTCACTTCCTGGCTCTTTTCCCCAGCCTCCAGCAGTAGATTTCTTTTTTTTTTTTTTTTTTTTTTTTTTGGTGGGGGTGGGGCGGGGGCATAAGGAAAGTTTTTCAACAAAGCTTTCATGACGGGGAGCTGTTGGGGAAAGGATATGCTCCCAGGGCTTGTTAGCCTGGAGTAATTCTGGTAGAGGAGGAAGCAGTGACAAGGGGAAGAACCTGCTTGTCTTCTGACCTCAGCAGGCTTCAGCCTAAACCAGGCAGAGTTTGGGCTGGGGCAGGGCAATAGTGAGGACTGAGGGTGGGAGCCCTGAGGAGCTTGTCGATAAGTACTTCACATTACCTCTTGTTGGCAGATTTAGTTTGGAGTTTGGACAGGCAAACTCCCTTCATTTAACATTTATAAAGAGGAATTCCTGCTGCTTCTCTTTTAAATAAAAGTTCTTTGTTCTGGTACCAGAAGGAAAAAGATCTTTTCCAAAGCCTAGGCCATTTTAAACCTGCTCAGGTGTCTCTTTTGTTACCAGTTCTCCCTTCACCCCTTTCCTATTCTCTTTTCTCTGCTTCCTGCCTTTTCTCTGCTCACATCTCCCATAACTTGTGAAAACAAGAATGGGAAAAGGACATCTGAAGCTAACACATTAGTTAGTTGTTTGGTATAGATACTGGGGCCGAGACTGAATAAGGAGCTTGAGATTTTGGACTTGACTTCTAGTCCTCAGAATAAGAGTTGCTGGGCAAGTTTTGTTTATTCCTTTAGTTACTCACATGTCAGATAATTAGGCTGATGGAGATCCTGGCAGATAGTTCATAAGACCCTAATCCTACATAACCCAAGACCCATATGATGGTCCATAAGACGCTAATCCTGTCATAAGCTCACAATCTTATGGAGAAGACATAGCAGCAGTGAGCACACAACCCCTACTCCTCCCATAACCCCCATTCAAATCATTGAATTTTGAGGATGGAAAGAACATTAGTTTATCTGGTCTTCTTTCATGTTGCTATGTAATAAAGTAAGGCAGATCATGAGAGTGTATAGGCTCTGGAAGTAAAGCAGACCTGCATTCAGATTCTAGCTCTGTTGCTTACTAGCTGTTTGACCTTGAATGGCACACTTAGCCTCACCTGTCTTTAGTTACCTTGGTTGTAAAATGGGCCGTTACCACCTACTTCACAATGTATCATAAGGATTAATAGTTTTAACACCCAGCCTCATGCCTGAGGCACAGTAGTAGCAGCCCATGTCTTTCTGTCACCCTGCATCAAGGCCTGGCTTAAATCTTTGCTGCTTCTGTGAAGCTTCTGAGATAACCCTAGGTCAGACTGATTTGTTTATCCACTTTGACAATACATAACATTCTTTGAACTGTTGGATCCTCCCTAATAGTCTTAGTAATTTTTTGTGGGACACCATAGTTCTACCCTGAATGCTATGTGCCTAGGGATAAGGAGTGTTCTCAATCATCTGTGCATCCTCCATAACCTCTCACTCAGAGCTATGTACACAGCAAAGCCAACCAGTACAGCTAATATCAGGAAATATTTTTTGACTAATTGGATAGAAGATTCATGCTCTGTTTTTCAGCTTGCAAGAAGAACTATAAAAGACCTGGCTGGAACTCTTCTAACTCTGCCCTTTTCCTTACCTGTTATCACATTGATAAAAACATGTGATCATCAAATCTCTTTGTTGGCAGTATAGGAATTCCCTTTTTGCAGATGAGGAATCTGAGATGCAGATTAGAACTCGGGTCTCTTGTTGGGAGATAGATCCAGACTCAGTAGGGGAACGGAAACAGAAATCTTATAATTGGCCAGGTGTGGTGGCTCATGCCTGTAATCCCAGCACTTTGGGAGACTGAGGTCAGGAGTTTGAGACTAGCCTGGCCAACATGGTAAAATTCCATCTCCACTAACAGTACAAAAATTAGCCAGATGTGGTGGCATGCGCCTATAATCTCAGCTACTTTGAGAGCCTGAGACAGGAGAATTGCTTGAACCCAGGAGATGGAGATTGCTGTGAGCTGAGATTGTACCACTGCACTCAAGCCTAGGCAACAGAGTGAGACTGTATCTTAAAAAAAAAAGAAAAAGGAAATCTTATAATTGACTAGGTGTCCATTCTTCAGAAAAAGTAGGAATTTCTACGAAGAAGGGTAATGGGTACTGTATTCCTGAGGCCTTAGCTGATGGTGAGGTCAGAAATGAATATAGCCACAAGCTGGAGATGTTTCAAGAACATGGCAGAGAGAGTGGTGAGAAAAGGGTTTAGGATAACATCATAGATTCACTAGGCCTTGAAAATTAAGAAGGGTTCGAATGTATATAAATGAAGAATGGTGACTCCAGTGAGACACCAGTATGGACAAAATATGGGAGCTGGAAAGTCCACAGTAGAAAGTAAGGTGGATGATGACCAGATCATAGCATACCTAAGAGCAAGGCTAAGGTGACTGGGAGCCATGACTTTTTTTGAGCAGGGAAGTGGCATTAGAACTATTAGTCTGGCAGTGTGGGTCTAATGGATTGGAGCAGGAGGGGTGGGGGAGATTAGTGAGACAGAGACCAGGGAAGAGACTCCTGTAACAGTCTGCCCTTGTAATGTCAATAAATTTTAAGAAATATTCCAGTAGTGCAAGCAAGAGATAATGTGATCTTGCACCCAGAGGAAGTTGACATAGTAAGGAATAAAGAATACTTTAGGAGGCTGAGGTAGGTGGATCACCTGAGGTTGGGAGTTCGAGACCAGCCTGGCCAACATGGCGAAACCCCGTTTCTATTAAAAATACAAAAAATCAGCCGGGTGCGGTTGCAGGTGCCTGTAATCCCAGCTACTCAGGAGGCTGAGGCAGGAAAATTGCTTGAACCCAGGGTTGGGGTTGGGTAGAGGTTGTGATGAGCCGAGATCACGCCACTGCACTCCAGCCTGGGCGACAGAGCAAGACTCTGTCTCAAAAAAAAAAAAAGAATGGTTTGGATGTAGAGCTTTCAGAGTGGGGAAGAAAACGGCCAACAAGGATTTGGCAATTGTGGGAATGGGGAAAGGAGAGAAAAAGTTGTTGAGAGCATGAATATTTGGAGTCTAAGTACCTGGGATGATGGTTATGCTGTTCTCTGAATCATGGAGGCTGGGAAATAGAAGATGAATTGAGTTTGTTGACTGGTTGATTGGAGGTGTCGATAGTCCAGTATGCTTACCACCTGACTCCCTGGTGCCTTTGCTTTTGTCCTTTGATCTAGAGCTGCAGAGATCCTTCGGTTCCTTGTGTTTGCTGCTTTGTTCCAGGCCTGGAGCCTGCCCCCCAGAATCCCTTCACTCATGACTTGGAGCAACTTTCACTCCCTCTGAAATAAAATAGTGTTTAGGCCAGTACCTAGTCTGTTTCCAACTGTGCAGTAAATGCCTATTAAATAGCTATTGTTATTATCAGAGCTTTGATAACAGTAGTTATCTAATCTAGATAAAAGTAGTTATCTAATCTCTAACAGTAGAGATTAGAGAAGCCTCTGGAACCACCTGGTTGAAGGACTCCGGAGTCACTCAATTTGTAGTGAGTAAAAAGCCTGGACTGCAAGTATATGGAGAGGATGTCAGGCTTGGGTATGGATGGATGGGGGACTCTAAGCCATATAAACTAGAACAAGAGAACATGTTTCCTGCTTTCTTCTGCTTTTGAAAATTGTTACGTGTAATGTGAGGTTAAGAGGGCAAGCCCTGGAGTTGGACTTCCGGGTTCAAATCCCAGCTCCATTATCTGTTAGCTGTGCAATGAACAAATTTACTTAATTGCCCTGTGCCTCCGTTTCCCCATTAGTAAAATAACACACCAACCTTACAAGATTGTTGTAAAGATGAAATGCGTTAATACAAATAAAAGGTTTACATCAGTGCTGATATATGCTACTATTTTTATTCCAGAGTCTGCTCTGTTCCACATTCCTGGGAATGAATAGATAGGGATTTCTCTACCATCCTCACTCAACAGAGGAGGGAGCTGAGCACAGAAACCTGAAATAAATCTCAGAGTGCTTGAAAGTTTTTATCAGCTAGAATCCAGGTTATCTAAACCTGGAGGAGCCTGGGCCACAAATGAGACAGACTTAGAGTTGTCTGGAAGACCTGAGATTCACTCCCAGTTCTACCATTTGACTTGTTTTGATCTTGGGCAAGTAACCTAGTCTCTGAGCCTTAGTTTTCTCATATGTAAAATACAGAACAAATTCTTTTTTGTGTCTCTAGTATGTACCTCATTCTCCTTATGACTGTATTCTAGCTGTATTACTAGCCTTCTTGTTCCTTAAACATACCAAGACTACAGGGCCTTTGTACTTGCTGTTGTCTCCCTAGAACACTCTTCCCTCAGATCTTTTCATGTCTTACCCCCTCATGTCGTTCAAGTCTCTGTGGATGTCACCCTTTGGAGAGGCCTCTTCCTGACAATTTTGTCTAAAACAGACTTCACCTTGCTTTATTTTCCTTTT